AATAGTTTTTTTAATTTGTGGTGGTGTAATTTTTTTTATTTTATTAATTTTTTAATCTTGAAGTGTGTTGATCAAAATCTCAAACAGTTTGCTACAACAAGAGAAATGGATGTTAGGCGTCTATTTCACAGATAGGGTAGAGATGTTTTTTTATATTGCAATAGACTAAAAGAAGGTTCCCTGTATGTTTCTCAATGTGTATGCCCCCTGCACAGTATAAGAAAAAAGGGTGGTGTGGGAAGAATTGAAGAATGTTATGATATCCTAAAGAGGCTGAATTTAAGCAGCAGACTTTAACGCTATTTTGAGGTCAAATGAAATGGTTGGCCTGTTAGAGAGTTTTGGATTATGTTGGATTTTAATGAGTTTATTTATGAAATTGGGTTAATAGATTTTTAGCTGGTTGGAAGACGGTTTACCTAGTATAAAATGGATGGGAAAGCGATGAGTAGTATTGACAAATTCATTCTAAATTCAAAATTTCTAGAAGAACAGGGAGACTGCTGCAAAGTGGGATTTAAGAAAACAATATAGAATCATTGCCCGGTGTTGTTCAAAACGAAAGATTTGGACTTGGGTTCAAGGTCCTTTTGTACCATGGATGGGTGGCTGAACCATCCTGAATTCAAGTAAATATTTAAGGAACAGTGGGAGTCAGCGTCGGCAGAAGGTTGGGGAGGATTCAGGTGCAAAGAAAAGTTAAAGAAAATGAAAGGCTTTCTCAAGGCATGGAACTAGGAAGTTTATGCAAACATAGATCAACAAATAGAGGTAGCAATGAAAATAGGCTGGATGGATTTGAAAGGAGAAGAGCTTAAGCTGCATGATGTTGACATTTTAGTCAGGAGAAGCGGGTGAAAAGCTATGGAATAGGTTGAAAAGGAAGGAGAAAATTTGGAAGTAGAAATCTCGAGCTACCAGGAAGCACCCAGAGGATGCAAACAAGTGCCTTTCTTTTTCATAGATTTGCAAGAGAGTACCACATGTTTCGACACCACATCATAACCAAAAAACTAAAAATTAATATAGTAGTTACATAGGTTTTCACATATTTAAACTATTCTTTCCTTACATATTTAAACTATTCTTTCCTTTCACATTTTTTGAACGTGGGATTTTAATTCTTCACGCTCACAATTTTGACATACATGGTCCAAGAGTATACAAATAATGAGCACATCATCCATGGGTATACTCATACACTCACTTTTTGCTAAGCTTGGCCCAAAACCAAAATTACCACTAGCATATGGCCTCTGAGAGACATTGAATATCTCTTCATATATTTTGACATCACATTGTAACCAAATAATGAGTCTAGTTGTTATATGAGTCTTCACATATTTAGGTCATTCTTTCCTTTCATATTTCTTCAATGTGGGATTCTACTGCTTCAACAGGTATAGCATTTATGGTCTACGTGGATGACTTGTAGATTGCAAATGGAGAAATCTTGAGCCATTTTAAGAAGCAATTTGCAGAATCTAGATACTGTAGGCCGAAGCTAGAAAACGTGGAAATGATCAAAATTTCAAACAAAGACAGTAAGGTTCGAAGCAGAGTTATACGCGCAGGAAGTTCAATAGGCTGTGAAAGAATGCAGTAGTGAATCTCCAAGGCCATACGGGTTCAACTTCAAATTCATCAAGTTCGCATAGGATGTTTTGGAAGGGCATGTAATGAGATTCATGAATGAATTCCACGGTAATGGTAGGCTGATGAAAAGTTTAAACTTGAGTTTTATTGTTTTAATTTCAAAAGTTGAAAATCTAGTGGAAATTAAAGACGATAAGGCTATAGCCACATTAGAAGCTTGTGAAAAATTGTTGCTACAGTATTAGCTAACAGACTGAAAACAGTTATGGAAGAGCTAATCATTGTTAATCAGTCTACTTTTGTGGGGGAAAGGCAAATTATAGATGGCATAATAGTCCTCAATGAAGTTGTTGATGAAACAAGAAGAAGAAAATTGGAAAATTGTTGATGACTTTGAGAAAACGTGTGATTGTGTTTCTAGGGAGTTTTTGAATGATATGATGGAGAAATTTAGGTTCAGGATAAAGTTATAGGTGGCATATTAGTCCTCGACATCTATGTAAATCTTGGTAAATAGTAGCCCAACGGAAGAATTTCATCTCGAGCGAGGCTTGAGACGAGGAGATCCACTTGCACCGTTTTTACTTTTGCTGGTAGTTCAAGGGCTTTATTATATGACTACAAAGGCAGTTTTGAATGGGTGCTTGGATGGCATTAGTGCTGGCTCTGGGGATTAGAAAGTTTCCCATTTACAATTCAGTGACAACACAATGACATTGGGAAATGCTAAAGGGGGGAGTATAAAGGCTGTAAAAGGCATATTGAGGTGGTTTGAGTTAATTTCTGGATTGAAAATAAAACTTTAAGAAGAGTAGTCTTATTGGAATGAAAATGGATGTTTCCTGTTTAAGGAGTATTGTTGATTTTTTAATATCCAAAAAAGAAAAAAAAAAGATGTGGATGCTGATTATGGAGATTTCAAAAGAAGCTTTCTGGATGGCAAGCGAGATCCCTGTCCTTTAATGGTTAGTTAATTATGCTGAGGTCGGTTCTCTCTTTTCTCCCTTCGTATTTTATGGCTGTATTTAAAATGCCTAGAAGTGTTTTGCATGCTATTGAAAAATATACATTAGGTCAATTGGGAGAGACGATGCTTAGATATAAAAATGATGGATTAGGAGTTCCTAATCTTAAACTAAGAAACCTAGCCCTATTGAGAAAATGGTGGGCGAGATTTGAGGAAGAGGCAGGGAATCTTTGGAAGAGGGTTGGTGATGAAAAATGATTACAAAGGAGATGGGTGGGATGGGACAGAAAACATATTATTTCAAAGGTATGTGGGAGGACATTTTGTCTGTGGGTAGGGAGGGACGTGTCTGGTGATATCATAGGGGAAAGTTTGAAATGGGAGGTGGGTAAAGGAGAGAATTAGATTTTGGGATGATGTGTGGGTAGGGAAATCAGAGAGACTGTCAAGAGATCCTTAAGAAAAGGTAGGTGAAGTGGGAGGTTGGAAAAATGGAGTATGGGTATGGAAGTTCCATTGGAGAGAGGTCTTATAAGGGGGGAACGTGATGAGGAGAAAGCATGATCAGATTTTTATTGGAGATAAGTCTAACGCAAGGAAAACCAGAGGGTTTGGAAATTTGACGAAGAAGGGATATACTAGGCCAAGAAAGCTTCTTCACTTATGATACCAATGCAACAAATCACTGAAGTTGATATGTGTAAAGCTATATATATGGAATAAATATCCACCAGGGAGGATTTGGTTTTTGCTTGGAGGATGTTCTTGGATATGCTACCAACAAAGCAGAATTTGAATAGCAGAGGGATAAAATGGGAGGAGCCAACTTGAACTGTTGCTTTGCCATGGTTCAGTAAAGAAGCATTAGTCAATTTTGCTCCATAGCATGAATGGAAGTTTAATTAGGTTGATTTTCACATTCACGTTCATAGTCACTGCATGGCACATGTGAGGGCCACGGAATAGGAAGATATTTAAGGATGAGGAATGCTCTCGGGATAAATTGGTAGAAGCTATCAAGCTCAAATCTTTTCTTTGGATTAAAGATAAATCAAACGGATGGGTTTTCTCTATTGATGATTAGAGCATGGATCCTTA